ATTCTGCATTGAATCAAATAACTATTAATAATTAGATATTCGATGTTGATTTATACCAAACAAGTCTCGTCGAATATCAGGTAACATATGATGAAAAATCATTGCAAGACGAGCTTCAATTGTATTTGACACTTTTATTTTTCCATCCATTGCATAAAGTTCAATACCACCAGCTCTAGAAATAAATACAAAAAAGTCAAAATAAAGTTAATATAGAAACAATCACTATTTTATTATTTTACAAATCATCAGCTAAGAAATTTTTATCGTCAACTGTAATTTTAATATCATTTTGTTTGAATTCTTGTTTATATCGTTGAATAGCATCAGGAATAAGTCTTTGAACAAGACCATAATCATCTTGTCGACATCGAATAGTAATATCATTTTCCATAAGCACAAAAATACCTTCTGTTATAAGATTAACAAGTATATATATATATTTAACTCTATTTTGTGTTAAAATAGTTAATTGTTTTCGAGCTTGTTCTTTTAATGCTTGAACATAATCATCACGAGCTTTAAGAATTGAAAGACGATTTGTATTAGCTAAATTTGAATGTTGAATTTTTCGTTGTAATTCAATTTGTTTTTCTTTTTTATCATAATATTCAATTATTTTAATATGTTGTTGAGATACTAAACGACTTTTTTCTATATTAAATTCTTCTTCAGCTTTTGCTTCGATTTCTTCAACTTTTTCAGCTGCTTCTTGTTGAATAAATTCAATCATATGTTGAATCTAAGCAAATATATTTATTTATTTCTATGAAGATTATTTTTTTTTGTTTTATAAGAAATGAAACAATCAAACCTGTTTGTTAACATCATCGTCATTGAGATTCATTTTTTATGAATAATAATATTCAAGAAAAGAGATTTTATATAAGAAAAAAAAGAAATGCTAAAAATGAATAAATAAATAATTTTGAATTAGTAAATAAATAAAAATGGTATCAGCTTGATCATTTAAATGATATGTTCATATCTATCTATTGTTAATATAAGTGACAACAAACTAACTTGATATTTAAATGGAACTCGTTTTCTATACTTGTTTCAAATCGACTCCGTCCAGATTTTATCTATTTTTCTTTATAAAAAAACAAAAATTTTGGAAAAAATTAAATGTCAAACATAAAAAGTGTGTGTGTCGATTATCTATAATAGAAAATATCAAAGGAAAAATGAAATGAATGATGAAGAAATTATTTAAGATATAATCTAGCTATAACGAATATGAATAGGATAGATTATTTTGTTTGAATCTCTGACAGTTTTTCGTTTAGTCTGAAAACATCGAAATGGATGTTCTATCTTACAGATCAAGTGGAGAAAAGTGATGAAAAACAACTTTTTTTCAATTCTTTCAATTAAAAAAACAAAAGAAGTACTGAGAATAAATTTTTAAAAATGTCTATCAATTTTACCAAAAAAAAAAAGAAGTGAAGAAAAATTAATCAATGAAAATAATCATAAAAATGCAAAAGATCATTTTTTAAGAAAAAATTTAAGATCAATTGAAAAACTGTTTAAAAGCAGACACAGTTGAGTTATTCTTGTTATAAACATCACATAACTGTATACGATGACAATCCAACTATAATATAAATGTTCTTGTTATTTTAATCTGGAGAGACATCCGATACAAAACAATATAAATACGTTCGTAGGTCACCGAGGATATTTAGAAGAAAATATATATTGAATATATAATCATCATATGGCTCTGTTTGGTATTGTTGTTGAATCAATTGATAAAGTGAATAGAATATTTATTTTGTTTGAATCGAAGCTTTATTTATTATTGACGTAAGAAACTATTTGTTTAGAAAAGTTTTATTTCAATTGTTAAATATTATCTGATGAGAAATCTGATTAATATTTTCTTTATTTTAATATTTTTGGTTTTTTTTGTTCATTAAAGATTTTAATAATAGATTGATTAATTAAATATTGTTATGAATAATGATATTAAAAAGGATTAGTTTTAAATAGCTAATAGATTTTCGAAACTGAATATTGAACAGATGATTTTCTTTTTTCATTTCAGACACAATAAATTAAAATAAAACTAATTCTATTTATTGAAAATAAGACAGAAAATGAAATTCAACAATAAATAAAATATGAAATATTTTAAATAGTTTGTATAATAAATGTTTCCAACAAAATTGTTCATGAAATAAATGATATTTATTTTAATATAATCTATTTAAAAATAATTCTGAATAAGATAATTATTTATTTATATTTAATTTATATAGATCATTATCTGATTTATTTCAATAATAAATTTGAAAAATAATTAGAGTTATTTTTTTTTCTTAAAGAATTCAATCAATTAGATAATTAATATTATTGAATATAACTATCAATAATTACATTCTCCGGTTCTTTTTTATTAAAAAATTTGTCAAATAATTATAATAATAAATATTGACGATTTAGTCAAAGAAATTTTTAATGATTCTTTTTAGTAAAAAAAGACAAAAAGTAATTGAATATATTTGATTGATTAAATAAATTATTGGAATAAATTGTTGATTAAATTGGAATTATTTTTTAGTTTATTTAATAAATGAAAACAGGATTGAATGAAAGGATCATTTAAATTCTCAGTATGACGTAAATCTTCAATAAGACTCATTGTTAATTTAAATTGAACAAATATTTGAAGAGATTTTTTTTCTTCTAATGTTAATTTATAAATTTGTTGATATCCTTGTAAAAAAATATTTGCTTGATATTCTCCATAATAATCATCAATCAATAAATGAAATAAAGATGTTGCTAAATCACATATAAATATTGATTGATAAGCATCAACAAAATCAATTATAAATATATTATCATCATTTGTTATTATCGAATTATTTATATGAAAATCATTATGAATAATACCACGAGAGAAATTTAAATTTAAATTTAAATTCGAAATATATTCTTTACATTGAATTATATTTGATAGAAGATATTTATCAATATTATTAAAATTTTGTTTATTCCACCATTGATCAGTTAATTCTTGTTCTTCTTCATTTAAATGAATATTTAATGAATAATCAATTGAAGCTATTCTTAATTGTGCTAAAAGCGAACCCATTTTATATAAATAAATAGGTTTTTTCTCAATAATATCTTTAGTTAGTTCGGTTCCTTGAATAAATGTTTGAATAAAAAGATAACGATTATTATCAATTATAAATAATTGTTTATTATTTGAATGAATTATATTTGGACATGGATATTTATATAAATCATGTAAAATATTTTCAAATTCTAATATTGTTTGAAGATATTTAACAGAATGATTATATTCAATATATTTAACAACATATTTTATTTTATCATTTGTTATAATTAAATATGTTTCATCTGTACGATAACCACCTTCAAGACAATTCAATTTTTCGACATTTAATTTATATTCATTGATTAGAATATTTTTAATTCGATCTTCCATAATTATATTTTAACTAAATAATAAATAATATATATTTATATATATTATCTAAAAACAGAATACATTATTTATTTATAAATCATTTCAATTTTCCTATAGAATATATATTTACTTATTTATTAAATTATTTCGAATGAATAAAACATACGTATATATATTTAAATGAAAGATTTTCTTCTATTATTATCATTTAAGGATTACGAGTTTATTTATATAGAATTCATTCGAAGTATATTATTATCAAGAATAATATTTAATTAATAAAATTGTTTATCAATTAAAATACTAAACGAAAATTTCTATAGAAGATTTTTAAAAATTATATTTAATTCGTATATATTCAATTTCAATCAATTATTTATTTTTTGATTTATTGTTTAAGAAAAATAAAATCATCTATTTAATATATTGAATAAATCTCAATAGACATTCAATTTATTTATCAATTAAATTAAATTATTTATTTGTTGCTTTCTTTTTAAAGATAAATATCTTTCATCTTCATTTGTTTAATATTAACTGAAAACAACCGAGAAATCCATCATATATATAGGGTGTCCAGTAATTCACTAGAGTTGGAGAAAAAAATTTGAATATTTTCATGAATCTTCAACCAAATGAGCTGAATTTTTTTTGGAAGGTAGAGGACACGTAGCAGTTTTTATTCATAACAGAACAGGTTGTTTATGCGGATGAACTCAGCACACTTTTCTTCGCTATGTAAATAAGCTAGGCACAAACATTTGTTGTTCATAGTTATAATGCAATACTGTACGATAATCTTTTCTTTATTTATTAGGAAGCATAGTTGACATACAATGCGATATTATTAGTATGAAAGAAACTGTCCTTCGTTGTTCAAGCAGTCACGAAGACGTTGCACAACAGAGCGACATGCTTTGCGACACATTTCTTCGGGTATCTCTTCACAAGCTTGTTCAATTCTTTCTTGAAGTTCTGTAATAGAAGCGACTGGCTCTTTGAACACAATGTCCTTCAAATAGCCCCAAAGAAAGAAGTCACAGGGACTTAAATCTGGTGAACGAGCTGGCCAGTCGAATGGACCACGTCTACCTATCCATCGATCTGGAAATTTTTTATCCAGCCATTCTCGAACAGTAACAGAATAATGAGCTCCTGCTCCATCATGTTGAAAGTAAAAGTTTTTGTTCTTCAACCGAGGCCATGCATAATTAACCAGTATTTCTTTGTACGATGGACCAGTAACGGTATCATTGAAAAAATATGGACCAACGAGTCCATTAGAACTTATTCCGCACCAAACCATAATTCCTTGTTGCGTATTTGGCATTTCAAACTTGAAGTGTGGATTTTCTCTGGCCCAGTAAGTGCAATTATGTCGATTGACGCTTGTATTCATATTAAATTTGGCTTCATCGCTCCAAAATATACTGTCGATTAGATTGGGATCTTCTTCGAATTTCTCGATCCATGATTCGCAAAATTCGCTACGACGATCGAAATCATCATCATTAAGGTCGATCACTAAGGTAGGACGGTAAGGTTTAAAGCCAAGTTGTTTCATTGCCACATGGTAACTGCTTTTGCTTATACCAGCTCGATCAGCACCTAAACGAATAGACAATTGTGGATTGCTAGTGGCTCTTTCTTCAATTTCGTCTAGTTTTTCTTCAGAGAGTACACTTGACGGTAGGGTCCTGCGGGAACGACTTTTTCCCGTGTTTTCCCGTCCCGTTTCCCGCGGGAATCGGGAACGGGAATTCCCGTGAGACCTTAGGAACGGGAATGCGGGAATGGGAATTCTGGTGGACACTCCGGGAACGGGAACACGGGAACGGGAATTGTATTAAAAATTTCTGTTCCCGGCAAACCCTATGTCCGATTTCTGTTTGCATTAAAATCTGTTAATCTTACAGTATTCGATTTCCAATAACTATTTGAAATATAATTGAAAAGAGAACAACTATCAGTCAACAAAATCAGACAAGTTCATTCAAACATAGATTATGAGAATCACGATATTCTTTACCATCATCGTCGTCGGCATCGAAGTTGGGATCATCAAGATTACATATATGTCAAACTTGAAACTTGAATTCAATTGAAATTTCAAGTTTCAAGTTTCAATAGGTTTATGAGCCTTGAATCAGAAATTTACTTTTAATATACAGAATCTTGTATTGTGAGAAACATGATGTCGCTAAAAGCTAGTATCAAGTAGCAGTAGTGTTGATGAATGTGAATAATGAAATCATTGTAGCTATTCTCAAAGCATTACGGGAACGGGAACGAAAATTTTGTTACGGGAACGGGAACACGGGATCGGGAACGAAAGTTTTTGTTACGAGAACGGGAACGCGGGAACGGGAACAAAAATTTTCAATACGGGAACGGGAACACGGGAACGGGAACCAAAAAAAGTTGTTCCCGCAGGTCTCTACTTGACGGTCGACCAATGTGCGGTAGATTTTCAATTGTTCCAAATTCATCAAACTTTTTATTGATTGACGAAATTGTGGTCAGATGAGGTGGAGTTGTATCAAAATAATTGGTCCATACTCTTTGTACGTCAGTTGCATTTTCAAACTTTGAAAAAAGTCGTACAATTGCGACTTTCTCATCAGTGGTACGAGTTGCATACATATTAAAGAATCGTAAGTGATATAACTAAAACTATGTACAGTATCACCACGTGGATTATCTTTCGTACCATTGTTTTTCGTCTTTTCTTTTCTTTATCTCTGAATATGCGTGCTTTGACTTACATGAATGATGCACGTATCGATACTTCTGTATCAGCTATATGACTCAAAACGAAACAAAAAGTGAGATAACGGTCAAACTTAACAACTGATCTGATTTACGCACGAAAACACAATAGTAGAACTACTTTGAATAATAAGCAAGTCCTCATCATAGCTGACTGGCCTTCTGTTTAAGAAAAACGTGCTGAGTTCATCCGCATAAACGACCTGTTCTGTTATGAATAAAAACTGCTACGTGTCCTCTACCTTCCAAAAAAAATTCAGCTCATTTGGTTGAAGATTCATGAAAATATTCAAATTTTTTTCTCCAACTCTAGTGAATTACTGGACACCCTATATATATATCCTATCAATATTCATCAAATAATAAACAATTAATTTATTAAAATAGAATTTAAACATATTATTTTTCAAAAATCATTTATTTTATATAGGAAAATAAATAAAATCAATCTATTTAATAAAATTTATTAGTTAACTATTGAATCATTCCTGTTCTACTCAAATTATATATATCGAAGATTGTCGATTAATAACAATTAATTAACGAACACAATATGAGGATGATTTGTCAATATGATTTTCTTATTTATAATCGATTAAAAGTCTACAATTAAAAATGACTTTTTATTTTAAATTAAATTTATTTTTATATTTTAGATGAAAGTGCAGAGAGAGAGAGAGAGAGAGAGAGAGATATTATTTCTTATTGAATCTAGCTCAATCGAAATATATTTTTATTAAAGAAAAAAACAAAAAAACGAAAATGCTTGATTATATGATAAATGTGTTTAAATATGTTTATCTGAATAATGAGGAATAGTTTTCAGAGCTAAATTTGTCTCAAAAGTTGTTTTTATTGTATTATGTCGAAGTGCCCGAATATATTCATCATGAAAAATCTATTTAATTAAAATAAATATTTTTTTGAAATAAACAAATCCAAAAAACAAACCAGTTGAATAAAATAATTTGATTTTTCAATAATTCTATATCTCATTGTTGTATGTGCACTAAGTAGACGAACAATTGATCCATCTGATCGTTGTTGTTTTATTAACATTGAATTTAATATTGGAAGTACAGCTATTCTATAAATAAATTATTTTTTTTATTCAATATATATTTAATAATAAATAGTAAAATAAACCTTTGTTTTGTGTTTATACCAATTGACTTAAATTGATCATTATCGGGTAAATTTATTTCTAAAACTAATATAAAGAATTATTAATAAACAAAAAAAAAACCAAATAATAGAAAATAGTTACAATCAAAAAGTAAATATGGATAATAAATGTTAGTATCAATTATTTTCGATGTTCCATATCCATATGTATTATTAAAGAATTGATTTAATTCATTTAAAAATTTATAATAAGATTTTTGATTTGATCGAATTGATGATCGATATTGATCAGATATCTATTTAAATAAATAATTATATATAATCAATTTCAATTAAACACATACTTTTTTACTAAATGAAATCATTTTAGAATTGAGTAAATTTGTTTTAAGTAAAGGTCGATCAATAGATAAAACATGATTAATATCAAATAATTGTCGAGGTATTGACCATGTTGAAACACCAACATCTCCTATTCAATATAATTATTTATTATTTATCATATCAATTTAACAATTAAACAAACACAACACTATATATATTTATGTTAAAAATAAATGTTTATTAATTAAAATAACTTTTTGAACAAACTGATTTTATTATTTTTGTAATATGATTATATTTATACAATCGAAAGTTTTTTCTTTTATTTTCTATTCAATATTTCAAATAACTTTATTAAATGAAATCTATTCGAAAAATTATTTCAAATCTAAACAAGATATTATTTTAATTAAATTCTTTGTTTAATTTCTTATTTTTATTTGTTTGATCAGTAAGTCAAACTTGAATTAAATATTGTTGAGATTAATTCTTATATTATTTAATATAAATACTGACGTTAGAGAATTAACTTTCTATAGATTATTTCAACTATGAATATTTTGTTAATAAGTTAATTATTTTAGTAAATATTATTTTGATTTAATAAATTAATTGATTAACTACTATTTATTTATCATTTGAAATAAAAGTCTAATTAAATAAATATCTATATATATATATAAATAGTTATTATAATAAAGAAAAACAAAACTGTTAATGATAAATAACTTACGAAAAATGAAAGGAAATATTTGTTGATTAACTGTATAAAAAGAAAGTTTATAATTATAAATATTTAAAAGCATCATTCCATATTGAGCTTGAACAATCCATTTAAGAGATTTTTTATCTTTATCTAATTGATTTAATAATATTTGACTTAATTCAACAATTATTTGACGAGATTGAAATTTATTTGTTGGATCAGTTAAACATAAATAATAAATAAAACGAGAACATAATTTAATATCTGATAATGGATTTATTTCTAATTTATTTAAAAAAACAAAAACAGAAACAGAAACAGAAACAAATAAATCTATCTATTTAAGAATTTAAATTAAAAAAAAAAAAAGAAAAAGAAAAAGAAGACATACTATCTTGGGGTTTTTTAAGATTTTTTTTAATTATTTCAATTATTTGTTTTATAAATAATTCATGTGAATAATTAAATGAAGATATTAATATAAGTAATTGACAAATAATATATAAATCATATTGATGAATTCCAATTTGAATTAAATATTCATTTAATATAGATAAATATTTAGATGAATTCTTATTATCAATAGATGAATGTTTAATTAATATAATATATTTAATTATTGATAATGAACAATATCGTCTATAATAAATATAATTAATTAGTTTAGTAATCCATAAATCAATTGTTGATGATGAAGGAATTTCTAATATTGAATTAAATGTTAATGAAAGTTGATTTACTAATTCAATTGGCCCTTGTTTATCAGATAATATATTATAGAAATAATTTGATATATATTTATTAATTAATGTTGATGATAATAATGATTTAACATAAGATAAACAATTATTTGATGATAAATAATAAACAAAAAATGATAATTCACATAATAATGATAATGAACTAAACAAATCAATATATTTATATTTTTTTTATCTATTCAACTATTTAATAATAATTAACAGTTTTTTTATTTTTGTTTTCTTTTGTATCTTAAGAAAAACAACAACAACGATATATTTTACTTAGAACTTTTCTTTTTTAGTATAACAAGATAGAAAAAGTTTCGTCTATTCTTATTTATCTTAATGTATATATATAAACAATTTAGATTTGTTATAAATATAATATTAGATTAAGAATTTAAGTTGAAAATGTTTTCTAACAAAATAGAATTATTAAACTATCAAATAATAACTATCTTAGTTACTATATATTATCTACCTATCCATTTTATATATATTTCAATATTAACAATCATTTATCGAATTATTTATATTTATTCTCGATTAAAATCATCTATTCAATATGAAAAGTATTGTTAAGTTGTTGTTATATAGTAGAGATAAAAACTAATATATAAAAGGGAATTTGTTTATTGAACAAACTTTTCATTTAAATTGTGTTGATGTTGAGTTATATGTATAATTGAATTTGAAGTTTGTTTTAAAGTTGTATTAATATCATATGTTATAAGTCGATAAATAAAAGCAACTTGTAAATAACGAATATATCGAAGAAGAATAATTAATTTATCTTGATTATCTTGTTTAAAATCTCCTATTTCATTTATTCGTTCATTTTCAATTTTAATATATATTGAATTTAATTTTGATGAATTTTTTTGATAAATTTCTTTTGTTGATGTTGCTAAAGATTTTGATGAATATTCATCATGAATTATATTTAACGATTTATAAAGATATGTTGATGTTGATGTTTTATCTACTGTTGATTTAAGTAATTCTTGAATATTTCGACTTGATTCAATTAAATCTGATTTACTTATCGATAAATAACGAATATTTATTAATATATATTTATCAATCAATTTAATATAACGATTTACGTTCAACATATTCATTCAAATTACAATCTTCTCTCATATTTATTTTTCTGATATTTAAATAAAATATATTTAATCTGTCGTCTAGAGACATCTTTTTATCATTTCAATCGATCGAGTGTTGTTTTTTTTTAATATTCATGCAATATTTAATAGGATTCATTATACTAATGAATAATATTATTTTTATTTACTTTTCTTCACTTGATTATATCTTAAAAGGAACATTTATTTTATTCAATATATTTTATATTTTTACGAAATAAATATCATTTACTTTTATTTCGTTCTACAAATTTCATTCAATATATTTGGTTTATTGCACTTTTTACAAATTCAAATAAATTTTCTCTGAACTATAACTTACGAAAAAAAAAACTTTGAATAACAACTATTCAAAGATCTACATTGGAATAAAACTAATTTTAACACGTTTTGATCAAAATAAAACTCTTACCAACAAACTATTAAATTTCAAACTTGACGTGCTCATCCTAGAGATCGATTGAGATACGCGAATTTCAAACTATTCTCTATTCACATATGACAATGAAAAAAATCGATCGACTCAACATAAATGATAATCTATTCTTAGTGAAACTGCTCAATTGATCTTCACTAATGAGAGCAATTTTATGATGGATTTCTAGATTAGTTATTGGAAAAAAAACATTGTTTCGTTTTTCAGATAAACAAAAACTCTGATAATATTACTAAATCTCAATAAAAAAAATAATATTTTCATTAAAGAAATCTCAATGATCACTTATTCAGAGAAAAATTTCAATTCTCTTTGATTGCTTCTCTTCATCACGAGATCTTGAAAAAAAACTCGTGATTATAATCGAAAATCAAGATTTTTCGAGATATCGATTGTAATGAAATTCTTGTTTATAGAAGTTAACATTCGATGTTTTTAAACAAAACACTTAATATAAGAAAGTTGTACAAATGTGGCTTGGAGACATCGTATATTAGCTTCTAATCATTGTTTTATATCAAATACATAAATTTCAAATGTTCTCCTACTTGAAATTTCAATTCAAGTCTATCTCTGTCTGATGATAGAAAGCTCTTTAAAAATAAAATCAATAAAAATATTCTTTTTTATCAATATCATCGGCGGACCAGGGTCACTTTTTTTGGTATGGCAAAATTATTAAAAAGTGTATGGAACTTATAAAAAAAAAATAGAACCTTAAATTTTGTTCATATATTTTGATTTTCATGCTAAGCTTCTACTGTAGGCATCGTGTTCATATTATATTTATTATTTTCATTCTTAAAGGTGACAAAAAAAAAATGACATCACAGACTTTTCATAAAAAAACTTCATCAATACAATTAAAATAACGGGTGATCGAAAATAATTTAGACAACATGTTTGTTCATTTTTGACCCACCTGAAAGTATTTCCGACGAGTCAAAATCTATGCGTTAGAATCAAAATTTTGTGCTCTTTCCAAATATGGACTTAGAAATTTTATACCGGTTTCTGTTCGAGAGTAGTGAAACAATCTTTGAAAGGTTCAAAAACTTACTTTGAACGGAAATTTTGTCCGCACATTTTTGTATTTTTACTATTGTCATCCGAAACTAAAAGATGGAACCTTCATTATTATACCAGCTTGTAGGACAAAATCTACCCTACAAAATGTACTGTGTGAGTATTTTTTTTTCTGTGGACAAGACTTCTGAGTATTTGTTTTTCCTAAATCGTCATTTTTGAAAAATCGTTTTTTTTTTTACCAAAAGCGTTTTATCTGGACAGTAGCTCTTGGAAAAATGCGTATAGTTTGCCTTGGGTAAAAGCTACAGCTTAGTTCAATATCACATTTTGTAAAGATTTGTTTGCTCTACGAAACTATCGAATCCGAGAATTTTTAGCATCTTCACAAAGGAATTTGTATGGCTTAGCAAAACCTGTTTCTTCGCAGTTCAAACTAACTATTTAAGCCTTTCAAAGGTCTCCTCACTTCTCTCGAACAAAAATAGACACAACTTGTTTAGACCCATGTCCAGAAAGAGCACAAAATTCTGGTCCTAACCCATATTTTTGACTCATCTGAAAATGCTTTTACGCAAGCCAAAACAAATTAATATTCTGATCAGAAACTTCGATCCAAACGTTCTGTCCAAATTAATTTGTTGGGCCTTTTAACGATTATTTCACTACTCTCGAACAAAAATCGACATAAAATTTCTAAGCTCATATTCAGAAAGATCAGAAAGTTCTGATTCTAACGCATAGATTTTGACTCGTCGGAAATACTTTCAGGCGAGTCAAAAGTGAACAAACATCTTGTTCAAATAATTATCGATCACCCGTTATATCACTTCTAGAAAAAAATAGGTAAATGGAGCGTATCTGAGGATACCTTTATGAAAAAGCAGGAGTCACTTCTGGTCTAATTTTTTTTTACTGACTTTCGATTAAAGATTGGATTGAAAAAAATAGTCGTCCAGGAAAGCTCATAATGAATAAAAATTTTTGGTATGGCAACTGCCATACTTTGCCACCATGGTGGCCCGCCACTGATCAATATTTAGTAATATTGTCAGAATTGATTTATCTTAAAAACAAAATAATATTTTTTTCGAACAACTAACTTAGAAATCCATCCCTAGTCCACTCTCTCCAACGAAATCCTCCGGGGAGTTCCCACGAAAACTCACTGGGGAATCACGACAGGGATTTGTAAGGGGGTTAGGGAAGTCCTCAGGGAGTTGCAAAGGAGTTTGGGGAATCACCAGGGATTTTCAAGGGAGTTTAGAGGGAGTCACCAGGGATTGTCAAGGGAGTGGCTTCGCAATAAAAAAAGCAGTACATCAAACGTATCAGTGATATTATCACTGAGAGGTTTACCTACCTATCTATCTATCTACCTACCTATCTATCTACGCATCTATCTATCTATCCACCTACCTATCTATGTATCTATCTCACTAGCTACCTATTTATGTATCTATCTATCTCCCTATCTATCTATCTACCCACCTATCTATTCATCTACCTATCCACCTATCTATCTATCTACGTACCTATCTATCTACCTATCTATCTCTTGCTAGCTAACTACACTGGAAAAAATAGGTTTATTACGAAACTTATGCGAGCGCTCAGATCGTCTAAGGTTTCGTATCGATATACGAAACCCTAAAAAGTTCAATAAATCGTTTTCTGATCCTTTTTAGGTTCGGTCAATTGATGCGAAATCTGAAAGAATCTGGTCACGGGCATAGGTTTTGTAAGAACCCATTTTTCTACAGTGTACCTAGCTATCCATCTACCTATCTAGCTAGCTATTTACTTACGTATCTACCTGCTCACCGACTACTTACCTATCTATCTATCGACATATCTATTTGTCTACCTGTCTATTCAGCTACTTGTCTTCCTACTTGTCATCCATCATATGATACTATTGGAAGGAAAATTTCAGTGATAATATCACGAAAATATGTCATGGACTCAATTTTTCTGTACTTTGTGGAGAAAATTGTACAGAAAATAACTCTTTTGGAATTCCCCCATAAAGGAACTCCCTGGGGAGTTTGTACTTTTCTCCCTCTTTCCCAAAGCTTAGAGATTCCCTAAAAAGTCCCCCGGGGACTCACTATGGACTCCCTGGGGAGTTTTTATCTTTTGGGATTCATCAGGGGAGAATAAAGGTGATTCACTGGGGGTTCACCAGGGAGTTCGTAATTTTTAAGGGAGTCACCGGTGACGTTGCAGGTGAGAGTCGACTAGGGATTATAAAACTGGTCTAATTGTTAAAGATCAATTGAGTAGTTTCAATAAAAATAGATTGTCACTTATGTTGAGTCGATCGGATTCTTTTGTTTTTTTTATTCTCATATCTGAATAATGAATAGATTGAAATTCCTTTATCTTGATCGATTTTTATGATAGACACGTCAAATTTTAAATTTAATAGAAACTAAAAAGAAAAGCAATGTAATCATATTCTTATATAATTATCTTCTCTATTTAATGATAAAAATTAATTGAAAAACTTAATTAAACAAATCAATGAAGATTTAATTAATATAGTTTGATTAAAAATATTTTTCTATAAATTAATTAGATATATTGATCATATTATGATCAATTTTCATTTTTTTAAATATTTTTATTATTCAAATGTTATTTTCACTTAGAGATATATTAAAAAGAAGAAAAATAATTGTTAATATTACATTTTATTTAAATTAATGTAATCGACATTTATAACATAAATCATATGTCAATTTTCAATAAAAGAACAATGAACAGTTTCTCTATCAATAAATCCTATTTTTAAATTCTTTCTATTCTCAATTGACATGAACAATATTCGTCAACACTTCGTTATCTATTTGACAAGATAATGAATCAGGCTGACCAGAGATATTTATCTTTAAAAAGTATCATCGAGTATCTATGATCATCATTTGATTTCAATTTCTCAAATAAGATACTTTTCGAACCTCAATGAAGAATACATACAACAAATTGTTCTCACCAGATTATTTTTTATTTTTTTATTTTGCTAGGGTATGTAACACTCGGAAATGCTTACATAGAATTTAAAGACAAAGTATTTTGCGACATCAGAATCAAATATAACAATTATAAGCTGAACGTTTTAACATTCGTCATTGTCTTAATATCGAAGCTTTTGACGATTTGATAATGCTGATAGAGGGATGAAGAATGAAAAATGAAAAGAAGAAAAGGAAAATAAAAGAAGAGAGAAGGAAAAATGAAATCGAAAAAAAGAAAACATATATAATAAGGAAAGAGAAAGAGAGAAAAAAAATATAATAAAGAAAGAGAAAGAGAGAAAGAGACGGAGAAAAAAAATGAATAAAAGGAACTACTCTACGTGAAGAGAGATATGATAAAATGAAAAGAACAAAGGTAAAAGGAGTACGACATTGGCACTAGTTTGTTTCAACGAAACTCAGCTATTTCAAAAGGAACGACTCGTGTCGATCAACTAGTAATCGCACACGTCGCAAACGAAAAAATTGGCCAAGGTGATCATTTTTTCTTTTGTAGAATTCGCTCCATACAAATATATCATTATAAAAAGGTGAAGATCCAAGATCTGTTAAATGCATTGTTTTCAGTCTCCTTTGGACGTACTTTTTAACATAGAATTCTAAGGAGAACTCTGAAGTTACTGTGAAAAGATTATGTGCGGAGACGAAAGGACAGCGATACACCAATCTAAGACCCATACGAAATTTCTGGTTCAGTATTTGTTTCTGCGATTCTGGTAACAGAGGATAGAAGGGAAATAACCAAACCAGGTGAGGAAATGTATATACGAAGAAACATTGACGAAGTACTTTAAATGACACAACTCTACCAGACAGTAACCACTTCAGCTTACCTAAGGATCTTTGAATATTCGCGATACATTTATCGACAGTAGGTTTCAAGGATAACTTATCCGTCCATGTGAACCCTAAGTACTTGAATTCTCTGAATAACTCGATTTGTTCACCGTTCATTGTTACATTTATTATAGATCTTTTTACTTGTGTATGAAATAGTTGTGCTACTGTTTTAGTCACATTTATTGGTTGCTTCCATTTCTTCGAGTATGCGTATATTTCAGCACAGATTCGAGTACTTTCTTTCTCTATATATTGAATCATTTGAGCTAGTTCCTTCAGAATAGGTGGCTTAATTAAAACACTCGAATCGTCTGCGAAAAGTTACCAAGAATGTGCTCCTAAACAGCTTATTAAATCGCAGTGAAAAACTATGAACAAGTATGGACTTAAACTACTACCTTGAGGAAGTCCTATACTTATATTGAACATTGTTGACGTTTTTTCACCAAACGCAACATAGACCCTCCTATCTTTTAACCAGCTTTCGATTATTTTCAATAACTCGATCGGCATACCAAAACTCAATAATTTCACTAACAGAGCTGCATGCCAAACACGATCATATACCTTCTGATAGTCTACATAGAACGCGAGTGTAGGTACATTGGCTGCCATGTTGTTTCTAATCTCTTGATAGATTGATAGTACTCGAGTAGGAAGTAGACATTTTGGCCGAAATCCTGATTGCTCTATAGAAACTAATTGATTACTTTGTGCCCATTCTCTAACTCTTAGAAGCAAAACTTTTTCAAAGAGTTTTGAATGTATTGCTAACAGAGAGATTGGACGAGTTTGATCGCACTTGGGAGCACCTGATTTTAGTTTGTTTAAGGTTACGATCTTTGCTACTTTTAATTCATCAGAATATCTACATTCATTCAACCAAATATTAAAGCAATTGGTCAGACATTCTATATAGCTCGGAGGCAGTTTTTTAATCATAAAATTTGACACTTGGTTAAAACCACTTGATTTTTTGGGTTTTAATATCTTTATTAATCTTCTAATTTCTTCAACACTAGTAGCTCTCACTGGTTTGTTACTATTGGATAATTTAGTTAACAGTTCTTTATATTCCGACTCTACTTCAGCGTCATGTGCATCAACAGGGTCTACTAAAGGTGCTCGAAATTGATCACAATAATGTCGTCTTAGTTCTTCTGTTATTTCTTGATGTGTCGATAGTACTCTGCTATTTGTTGCTAATTTATAGAATGGCAGTGATCTTGTTCTATATATACGAGATAGGTGCCTCCAATATGCTTGATCTTTGTTAGCATGAGTTGACTGGATGTCTGACAAAAAACTTTGCCATCGATCTGCTTTATATTTACTTATCAAATTCTTTGATTCTTTAGTCATAACACGCAATAAAACTCTTGTTTCTGCGCATAATATTCCTTTTTGTCTAAGGTGGTAGTATTTGTTTCTTATTTTTCTTGTGGGTGTGGGTGTGGGTAGGTGTGGGTGTGTGGGTGTGTGGGTGTGGGTGTGGGTGTGGGGTGTGGGGTGTGGGATGTGTGGGGTGTGGGTGGGTGTGGGTGTGGTACGGGTATCTGTTGATGACAATCACCCACACCCTCGAAAGATTCGTGCTTCGCAGGGCATTTCGTATTCGAAGCGAAGCTCGAATACCATCTAATTCAATATATAGCGCTCGTTTCAGCTGGAAGTTCATTATCATGTGTAGCTAAGTTGTTATTCATTATCATCTTCTCGTGCTCTAATTCAGTGAAAAGCTATTCATATAATCCTGTTTAATTTGTTAAAACTTCAACATTTATTCAAGTTAACTTTTCAATACCCGCCCATCCATTTCCCATTATAAATATTATATAGCTGATCTTAAATAGTTTATCCCGGATAAAGGCGAATTTAACATACTAAGTGCAAACTAGTCGTGTCAGGTGACACCAGAGCCGAGAAGGCAAAACAGTCGTGTCAAGTGACACCAGAGCCGAAAAGGCAAAACAGTTGTGTCAAGTGACACCAAAGCCGAGAAGGCAAATTCCTCGTGTTGGATGTCCTGGCATTCAACATGTAGAGTGGATTGCGCTGTACTTGTGACCCAACGGCCTGGAGCCATGGCACATACAGCTGGTCTATCTCTTTACGTTTACATTCAAGCTGAAGTACGTGACCCAATCGGCGATTCGCCACGGCACGTCCAGCACAACTTTTTTATTTTAGGCTGGACGCTGCTGTGACTCTTCATTTATACAATGTTAGCACTGCTGGTGAACATTTTCTTTATTATTCCACCATCGTGCCAATTTATTCTCTTAACTTACAACTACGCGTTAAAGTGCCCAAAAATGACTATAAAAGAATATCTTTAACTTTATTTTTATTGTATTTAATTGTTTTGTTTTTTGTCACTTTGTTCTTTGGCAGTAAATACATATATGCCCAACTCGCCACTATATAAATAACAGTCTTCTCATAGAGAGATCGACATGAACGTACAATTTTTCTTGTATATATTACTCTAATTTCAATTGAATGCCAAGTTGTATTAAGTCGCACTAATTTATCAGAATTAGTATTGTTGTGTTTGTAAGAAGAACTTCCGATAACGCGATAGAAATTCTTGTCATAGATTTGAGAAATAAACTTTGAAAGCTTTGTTTTGAATTGAATTTGTGGCATTTTCTTGACTTATAAATGTGTGTGCTCAATTACGTCTTTTTTTTTATATTAGCTTTTTATTCTCTCATGTTCTTATAAACTTAACACATTCTGAATAGTTAGTGTTTTATTTTTAATTTCTTTTTCTTTGTTTACAGATATTCGGGTCAATTGATATCATAGTCAAGTACTTTTGAAATAGATCCTGTCCTTTTTGTCTGTTTTCTGTACTTGTCTTTTTTTGTGAACTCGATAGAAAAAAAAACACGACCACATATGTTAACAACTGAAAACCACTCTTATCTTTGGAGTTTTTCAAGTCTGTATTGAATTCAGATTAATGACTCTCTAATTTATTGACTTTTGAACTTCGCAGTAGCCTTTGTTCGCATTTTAGAAATAAAAAAATACGCCTCTTTTTTTATTTCTACAAATGACGTCCCTCTTTTTCTACGAACTATCGGAGGATACCAGTATGACTATCATCATCATGCTTCTTTGACAATGAAATAACTTCTCCAATATGACTATTATCATATGTAACACTTTGATGTCTAGTTTTAATCGATGCAAAAAAATATGATACTGACTTATCACTTAATTTAGTATTTTTGTTTAAAATTTTCAAAATAATCATCTGATAACAACACTTTTTTTTTCTTCATGAAACTAAGAAGAATGGTGTTCAGAATATATCAATTGAAGGCTAACATTAAAAACTGCTCAATATCTTTGTGTCATTTAATATCATTAATAATCCATACGTATAAAAAAACAACTTACTACGTCATCACATGTTGTCTTACTCATTTCTTATCTGACAATCTATTACCCCTGTGCTTTTGATTGATACAATGTGCAAGCTTACTTAACAGTTAAAAGGATTACTTATCTTATTATTTAATCAATTTAAATTGTAATTAACAAGAATAAAAATAATCTACGTCACATGAATCAACGATCTATCGATAAAAACAAGACGCTTATTTTTTCATCAAAGATTGTAATACAAAAGCCTATCGGATTTTTTTCTTTTGAAGTTGCTGGATTTTCTTTGAAAATCCGAATTTTTTTTCATATTATATACTCGGAAAGCATTATGATTTTGATCATATCAATCGAAACAATTGATTTTCAGCTGTCATTTGAAAAATATCTATTCAAAATTGTGCTTGAGCAATGATCTCTTATATGAAAATGTCTGTCACTCTTAGCAATTATTTTCTAAATATAATAATAATGAAACATGCAGAGAGGATATGAGCCATCTATTAATTTTCATTCATCTCTAAACAATCTTATATTATAGTTGTAGATTTATGTTAAAACAAGAAATTATTTTGTTTTGTTTTTCTCTACTTTTTATTCTATGTGGTGTTATAAGGTTGAAAACGGTTGTATAAGGTCGAAAGAAACAAATATATATTTATTTTCGTGACAAAAAGCACTATTTTCATTTCAGGAAGGATTTCTTCCGAATCATTCACAATAATCTTATCAAAGTTTCATGTCATTCTATTGCAATGTATTTGAGTAGTAGTCATGAAAAAGAAAATGTTGCAATGAAAAAATCCTAGATAATTTTAATTCTGCTTTTTTCTTCGCTTATATTTTAAAATACTCGAATGTTTTATATATATAGAACTATGCACTGCAAATTTGTTTGTTTGTTTTACATTCATCAATATAAACCCATTAATTGCACATACCAATCGTAACAGCCAATAGTAATGTAGGGTTTTTGTAATACTCATCTATAAGAATGAAACTTTTATCATCGACATTGATGTTAATCAGGGGCAAATAACGACCAAAACATATTATTATGATAAACATGTGCCAATCAAGCAGAAACAATCGATAAATCCTGAGACTCTTATTTTCCAGTATATAAAGACTAAACAACGACATACAATTAGCATTATCATTTTCTTGTTTTTCTTTATTTTATTTTTAGATCTCTGTCTTCAAATTTTACAATAAAGACAAATAAAAATGAAATTAACATTTTGGCAATTATTACTATTTCTATTCGTAATGGTGAATTTTTGTGAATGTCGAAAATGACCTAATTTACCACAGAATAAAAACAACATTTATCAACGATTATACGCTGCCACATATCGATCATTATCATCATTATTACCTCCAATCTGTTCTCAAGTTTTATTCAATGATAATAATATACAATCTAAATATATATCTCCAAAAGGTTTATCTGGTTGTGTTATACCGATTGGAACATTTCCAAGCACAATTTTAGCTCTTGAGTATTTATACGGAATTTTTTTGTCCAATACGAAATTTACCAACACGAGAAAATGCCATTCAATCATTTGATGTAGTACGTATTGCTTATGACGAAAAATATTTGATTACGACATGTTGGATTAACATTAGATCCACGTACAGATGAAGAACGTCAAGCAAAAATAAATACGATATGTAATGTTACACAAAGATTCTGTACTGGAACATTACAACAATATTCAAGTTTCAATGATTGTCAACAATTTTTAAGAACACAAATACCTTATGGTTCATATGGTAGAGCTGATCAAGGAAATGTTATTTGCCGTTTTGTTCATACATATTTTGTACCTGTATTACCATCTATACATTGTCCACATGTGGGTCCAACTGGAGGAGGAGCATGTACTGATAAAACAATCGACTTTTATTATAATCAAACAAATTTTCTGGCTTGTGCTCATAAACAATAATAATCAAATAAAATCATGTTCTTTTTTTTTCAATTTAAAGTTTAAACAATAAATTGATATCATTCATAAATAATTACGCGAAAACTAAGATGTATGAAGTTATAAGAAGGATGTAAAGCTGATTTGGTAATTCGACTCGATAACTGTACTTCTTTATTAACTTAACATAATCTAATTTCAATATATTTATTTATCAGTTGATCAGAATTTTCTACAAAGTATTTGTTGAGAAATAACTATGTGGAAAACAAATGTCATAGATTCATAAAAACTGAGAACAAAATTACATTATTCAAATTTCTATACGAGTCATTTTTCATCATTATATAATCATAGAAATCACAATAGTATAAGCAATGGTCATATCATAATACAAAATAATTGAAAGTTCAATCATCTTTAAGAAAGTACAGTTGACAATAGTGTCTTATTATTTTGTTTAATTTCTTTTCTTTTTCATTGTTCTGTCATGTTGTATATGTGAATTGAAAAGAAGATTTTTATAAATACTTTGATTTATTTTTGTTTCATTGAATGTTTTATCCTTTTTACTGAAAGTTTAAAAGAATTTGTTGAGGTAAAACTTTCTAAAAATAAAAAAAAATGTGGCTTTTTAATGAAAGTGAAGAAGTTACCATAAATAAGTTCGACCTTGCTTGAAAATCTTATAAGATAGTTTATTTATTTGTAATTCAAAAAAAGAATCTTAACAAGATATATCTTCAATTTTACACAAAGAATTTGTTCTCTGAGACTTAACGAACGAGTTACGTTGCATTCTTATGTCAATTCTCACTACATGAAATAGTGAAGTGAATAAAAAATCATATTGTAGAGTGTGTTTTACTGTATCTTTTCATCATAAAGACAAATTTTACAAGTATTTATTTCATAAAGAAAATTTTAATATTCAAATAATGTGTACATGTTCTTTATTGTGTTTTCTGGATGTTTGTTTTTTGTTAAGAAGTAAATAGCTTCTCGTGAATTTTCAGCTACAGTACTGAGTTTCAATGAGTAGTTTCGTCAAGAATAGAAAACAAGTTATAAGCATAGTTTCTTCTTTTTGCATTACAAGAATTCTTGATAGAATAATGTAAACAAATCTTTTTATGAAGTCGGTGCTAGTAGCATATCTAGAAATACGAATGATAACAAGAAAGACAAATACAACGATCAATGACAACAGCAACTAAAAATTGATACAGAAACCGTTTCGAATTATTTCGGAGCAAAACTTTTATCGTTGACCCATTGAAAAAGATCCCTAAATATGATTCACCATCAAGTGATGATAGTACAACATCAACAATTTATTAATATGAGTTGAAGATTCTTATTTTAAATAAATATGTTCTAAAAACTCTGAATATCAGTCCTTAAAATTAGAATAACCATTATGAAAACAGTAATCTATTTCTCTGGAACTATCATCTATACCTGATAAATCATGACAAATAATAACTATCAATTCAACATCAATATCTTTATCATAAAGACTATTATTATCAATCAAGTGATATTTCGAAAAGAATTGATGTATGAAAACAAATATGTATTCGAAAATATTTTACAATAAAGCTCGTTTAGTAATTAATTAATGTAGAGTTTCATTAAAAACTCAAACATGTACATGTCTTGTAAGGCGATTTAACATCAGATATACACAATATCTAGATTGTTGTTTACAAATTAAACTAACTCTTTGGGATGGTGGAACGTGTTCACATAATTGTTGATCTTGAGAGTGTGACTTATAAAATGACAAAAAAAAAAGTCATTTGTGATGAATAAACCATAAGTATTCTTTAATGTTGTTTGAAATTCATTGATGAAAATCGAGCTCTTAATTCATGATGAGAAGAACGAAAAAGAAAGACCTTGAAATCTATAAAAAGGATTCAAATCGTACAAAACTAATGAAAGTAATGAAGAAATCTCAGTTTTCGAAAATAATCATCATAATGCAATGAAAATGATGTCAAAGTAAAGAATGAAATTTCCTACATGGAAATTCAAACAATAACCATTGAAATGAATTGTTTTTGTTTTCTTTTTTTTTTAGTCACTGAGTTACGGCTGTGAATGTGATGTAAATAGAATAAGTACATATTCATCGTCGACTGACGATAAATTGATCGTCGATGATTATCTATTAATCATTATCATTGAGTGATAGTTCATGTTTTTCAAATATCCTATATAAGGAATGATTTTCTTGTATAAAATCATTCAATTCAATCGATCTATTGTATCAACAATAGATTGAATAAGTATTCTAATAAATTTTATTTTTTTTTCAGAAGGTGCAAGATACAATTATGTACATAATTATGATATTTATACATTTACATATTACATATATATATATTCCAATCTTAAATAGGGTATGTTGTTCCTTTTTTTTTCGTATTGGGATAAAAAAGGACAGGTGGCGTTAAGGCCACTTTTCGCCCCACGATATTTTCAAGAAATAATTATATGAGTGTTACAAGATCGATATG